CGATATACCTGCGCATGCGCCAACTAATCGATGGCAGGAACCATTTCTTCCTGGAGAAGATCCACCACGGAAAAGATCTGCGAGTTCGGAAAGGTCCCTCTATGTTAGCATTAAAATACATTGTACCTTCCGTTTATAATCCGATTGATCAGAATTATGGCTATTTATTTTTTTATGGAAGAATGAGTCGGTCTGCAAATGACTTCAATTTCGACATGGAAAGTTCTCCAACTGTTCAGCTTTTCGATTTCTTCAAACTGGATTTCTTTACTTCACGTAACGAAACTGATTCTTCTGACGGCGTAGTTAATGTTCCAGAATCCTCTAACATGGACCTGAATATTGACATAGAAAATCACTCACCGTTGAGACTGGCACCAATAAGATTTTCTGATAACTCTCTAACATACATTTGGACGCTCAATGTATTCGTGAGCGGTTATCGCCAGATCCACTTCAGGTGAATCAAGGAACTAAATTCCTTTTGAAACTTCATATAAATTGCTCTCCGTCTCTTTCAAAAGGCCTAAATTCTACGTCTCAACATTTTACAAGCTACAACAAATATTATTAATACAGAAGATGGCTGTCTTCTGGGTTGTTGCGCCGTGTAGTCTGGTAGATTGCCACCGACGTTTCAGAGGTCCTTGCTGCCTCCGTCATCAGGGCAATGAATGTGCTAATCGAGCGAAAATGCCCTGGTTTATAGGGACCGGAGAGTAACCGGAGTAGCCTGATCCTAGAAAATGAGAGCAAATCAGGTGTGGGTGGGGACCAATAGGAGAGCGTGGGAGGGTCTAGCTGTGTAGATTTATCGCTCTGATGATGGAGGCAGCATGGACCTCTGAAACGTCGGTGGAAATCTACCAGACTGCACAGCGCAACAACCCAGAAGACGGCAAGGTTGAGACTCACCGCTGTGAAAACCTCAATCCTACAAGATTAATACAGTTTCTTTGCATAAATGTATCTCATTACCGATTGCTTTGTTTGATACAAATTTCTGTATGTAACTAGAATTTAAGCAGAGAGGAAATAAACACAAAACATGTTTACAAAAATTTACATTCCATTTTCATTTGTCAGTTTGAATGTATTCCACGAACAGACTTAAATTCCCGTTATAAGTGCATGCAGTGGCGATGTGTGACCTTTTGAAATGTGTCAGCCATATTGTAGTATTTATATTTATTTTTGTACTGAGTATGCCCGTATTAGATGCAGTGAGATGCACGTGAATATTAGGCATTTCCTATGTATCACCCGATGCTTTGTTTTCACGTGGAACAGAGTTAATATCCTAGCTCGCCTGCCTAATCATGCACGTGTCATTTTGACACTGCCTAATCATACACGTGTCATTTTTGACACATCTGTGCTTGGAGTTCGTGGCGTTTCTCTCTTTAGAAAGCTAGCTAATACCAATGTTGCAATTAAAATCATGATGCGACAAAAGTTAGAGGACCGGCAGTTGATCGTTTACATCCAAAGTGAGTGGATGCAGGACACAGCTATTGACGTCATGGCAGAAGATGACAAAATTTATGCAGCAAAGATAAAACTCACAGCGGTGGCCAAGATATTTTGCACAGGGAGTACAGAGTTCCATGTGGAAAATACAACGTGGGAACGTTTTAGTGAAATTTTCAAACAAAGATTTCAGGACATAATGTCAGATCAGTTTCACTACCAATAAATAGTGACAGTCAAACAAAAGATAGACGAGGATCTCCAAACTTCTTCAAATAGTGTCCGTACTTTGGCAAAGAAAGCACTACCCTCCTCGAGTATCCCAGCGGTTCAACAAAGAACTCGAATAGCGACAGTTGTCGAAGTTTGTCTTTGGTTTGCGTCCAGACATTTCAATGCAGAGAATAAGTCGGATAATATTTTTGGTACCTACAGTCAGAGCAGCGATAAATAAGGCCTGTAATAACAATCGAACAGCTGGATATAACAAGAGGTCCGCTAACCACAGTCTTCAAACCCGTAATTTCCAGGCGTTTCCTCGCGCACCTATAGCACCAACCCCCATCCGCTGGTGGTTGCTGTAACTGGAAGTTTCGATCATTTTGCAAGGGACTGAAGGCAGCCACGAGCAGACGATTGTAACACACGTGGTCACTATTCGCGTAATCGACATGAAAATAGGGTGCCCTCGCAGAGACAGAATTGGTACCAAAGGAGCAACCCCCAAAATTTAGTGCAACAAACAGAGGTACAGTCGGGAAAGCAAAGATCGACAACCGCGAGTCGTCGTTAATAAACGTACAATTTGTAACCGATGACATCAGATGAACCCCTTGAAGTCAGCTCGAATCGAATATTCTACGAAATTAAAAGAAATTAATTACTGACGTGGGGGCAAGCGATTTTCTGAGGCAACCTGGAGCCACTGTTAGCTATGAGGACCAAACTTTGCTGGTGGACGGACGAAGATTTGACCTCGTAGGTACATCGAACTCAGAAGAAGGATTTGTGGAGCATTTGAGGGACGCCTATGATTTTCGACCCCGGTGTATACCTCGGAGATGACGGTCACACCGCCTCTAAGCAAATGCATAGAGAGAGGAAAATGATTTGGCCCCATGTACATTCCCCATTGAGAACGTGTAGA